AAGAGTTTTTGACTTGAGCTGTGCATAATAAGGATTACTACTATGACTGCAGTGAAGGGAATGGACCACAGGAAGGCAAGAGTGGGAAAAAGATACTAAGAGGTTGTTATAGTAATCCAGATGAAAGAGGAAGATGATGGGTTCCTAAACTAAAATAATGGTACTTAGAGAAAAGTGGACGCATAGAAGTGATTTGATCAAATCTATCTGGCTTGCTCTGATTCATAATAAGGATTACTACTATGACTGCAGTGAAGGGAATGGACCACAGGAAGGCAAGAGTGGGAAAAAGATACTAAGAGGTTGTTATAGTAATCCAGATGAAAGAGGAAGATGATGGGTTCCTAAACTAAAATAATGGTACTTAGAGAAAAGTGGACGCATAGAAGTGATTTGATCAAATCTATCTGGCTTGCTCTGATTATCTGTATTTGGGGGGGGGGGCGGTGAGGACCAAGGCTGACTTCTACATTTATAGATCAGCCTGATGGTACAATTCACTGGATTAGGGCAGATATGTTTTTGTTTGTCTGTTTTAGGGGGCAGGCAGTGGCAGGAATATCATGAGTTCAATCTCAAACAAGTTGAGTTTGAGATGTATGACATTCAAGCTGAAATGGTCAATAAAGATTGAAAATTCAGGTGTAAAATTCAAGAGAGAGGTCTAGTTTAGGATACAAACATGAGAATCATGAGAAATATCATGAGAATAGTGAAAAGTCATCTAAGAATTTATGCGTATACTGAGAAGAAAAGATAGCAGGTGCAGGAACATAAGTCTTTAAGGAATAAATAAGGAAAAAGATCTATAAAAGATTTTAAACAGTAGGAGACCAAAAAAGGCCAGGGAAAAACCAGAAGTGTGGTGTCTCCAAAACCAAGGGAAAAAAGAGATTTAAGAAACAGGTACAGTCAACCACGTCAAATGCTATCAAGAAATGTGGTAAGATGTCTACTAGATTCAGAATTTCAGCAATGTTCTTCCGGTGTTCTATTTCTAATAAATACAAACAGAAGAGCTCTGAAAAACTGAAGTTAAATCAGTAACTCTTCAAACTCCCTAATAACACACTCATATTTTTTTTCTAAGCTGATGGCCAAAATCAGTGACTTAGGATACCAATTTTTTTCACTTTTTAAATCAGTTACAAAGCTTCTATTTGCTAACTTCAGGTTGGCTACACATAAGTATTTTTCCTTGTCTCAAGTCAATTCACTGAAGTCTCACAAAGCCAGCATCTTGACTATAGTCTCCAACAATACAGAAGTAGTGTATGTCTTGCTCCTCCCTGGTACCTTGCATGGTTCTTGGCCTGTGCCAAGGAACTCAATAAATATTTGTTTACTGATAGGTACTCAAAGCATTAATCTGTGAAGCTTTCCAGAAATAATTTGAGGTTAGTCCTTACTGCTCCAATCCCCAGAATACAGACAGTGTTAATATTTTTGCAAATGTTCCTTCACTTACTAAAGAATGCTCAGAAAGAACTGTTTAGTGAGCTTCCCTGGTGCTCAAGGTACTACTTGAAGCAGGTCTCATTTTAGAAAATGCATGCACACTGGAAAAGATGTACTGAAATTAATTTTGCAAACTTGAGTATCACCCTCGTATTAATTTCTTCTTATAAATCATTTATGTAGTAAGTTTCTTCAATCGATATGAAGGTATATTTATTTCTACTATAAGTAAGAGCAGAATTTAACATTTTTATATTGTTCTGTCTGATTAGCCTGTTAAGCATTGTATTCACTTTCAAGAAAGTAATTTTTCTAAAAAGAAGCTGTCTCATTGGTAAGCAAGGATTTCCTCTCTAGGAATGGAATGTACTGTTTTCCTTTTTCATATCCATATGCCATGTCTCTTAGCTACACACAACTGAGTAACTTGCATAGTCTTCGACTTAATTTCAAAACGATCTAGCAAGTCTTTGAAAATGCTAGAAAACATTAGCAACTGCCTCCCTGACTACTCCACAATCCTGAGACAAATTACCTTCCCTCCTTTGAAGTTCTGCTTTAACAGAATAGACATTATCCAAAATTAAAAAGCTCTTGCATGCACATGGTTTAATGAAGAAGTTCTTCAACAATATGAACTGGTTGCACTGGAATCACTGGAGAGTTGACTGGAAACAGACATTTCCAGGCATCATCCCAGAAATTTTGATTCATTAGTTTAACAATCTTTGGTTTAGTTATTAAATAACTTGGTGTGAACTTTGTCTTCTTCAAATATAAATACTTCTTGGCAATTATCTTATTAAATATTCTGAGAATGCTTACAGTTACCTGTAAATTTCTTACATAATACTAGGTTTTTAATTATGTACCTCTCCAAATTCCATTGTAATTTTTGATGTCAGTTCAAACTTTTGATAAGGAATGCAATTCCTCAGAATTCTCTTTGAAAAGTGAATCACAGACATGGAGGAAAATTAGCCCAAAACTCCAAAACCCGGAAGACAAACTGGGAATCTAATTTACAAAGGCCCCCCAAGACTTAGTCTATTTAAATAATAATGAAGCAGAATTACATTGAATAAGTAGAATAATAATAAAGAGAAATAAATTCAAATGCAAATGAGTTCAGCTAACTTCTCTGGGTATCAATTTTCTGATAATAAAATAAAGAGGGATTACAAAATTTTAATCACCTTTCATGATAAATAATCTGATTAAATCAGAATACTCAAACGAGAATTGTTACATGAACTCTGAAGCATACTTTCAGAAATAAGTTAAAACAACCTATAAAACAGATTATTATAGCCAACACAGAGCAGAAAAAATGAAACTGAACAAACTGTAGTCATACTCACACATACCTGTTCATCTACATGCAAAATGGAGGACTTAAATGAGATGGCACATGTTGAATGAACAGACATTTATACAGGGTCTGTCTACTATGTGCTAGGTATTATACCAGGCAAAAAATACAAGAAATAAGATCCATTCCCTATTTTATAGTATAATGTAGGAGACAGATACATAATGCCTGCCTTCAGGTGGTTACTAAATATATATTAGATACCTTACTTTCTCCTTCTCAGTAATTATGCACTTTTTCTTCCACAAATGTTTGTGTATGTTTGCTAAAATTTCAATTTCAGGTATGTATCTTCTCAAAATTGAAAACTGTTCCATATTATATCAAGACATATTTTGTACTGAAAGGACTGATGCTAACTATTTCCCCATGGAAGGAGTTATGGGGCAATAAATTTACTTCAATCAGTAAGTACCATACATGTTCCTGATGAATATGCTTTGTGCATGGAATTCTTATGAATTAAAAGTTATTAACATATAAACCAATGTAAAAACTGGAAAAACTCTTTTTTCCAGATAGAAACTGATTTTCAATTGTGAACTTTACAATTAAGCCAGCTATGCAAAAAGACTTAACTCTTAGCTGACAAAACACTGCCATGTATACTATTTGTTTGCTCAAAGGCCAAAAAAAAATCAAGTCATGCTAGTCAAGTAAGATGATCTGCTCCTCTTTCAATACTAGTTATACATAAACATTGACAATAACTTATTCTTGCAAAAAGTCTTGCTTTGTTCTAGAGATCCACAGTATGAAGAGGAACCCTAGAGTGCTGGGCTATAGAAAGTTCCATAAGCACCAACACTGTAACTCTTGAGTTCCTAGGCCTACCACAGTGCCTGACACACATGAAGACATGAATGACTAAACCATAAAAAATAAACTTCCTCAAGTAAGATTATTTAGCCTACACTTAACTGCCATCTCTACAGTGCCTTTTTCAATCCAAGACTTTTATTATAACCATCATTAAAAAAAAAAAATACATGGACAGCAAAATTCAGAGTAAAATGAAAAGCTGAACTTTCGACTTTTGATAACAGAAAAATGAAACATGAAACCTGGTGACAGAAACATTGGTTATTCAATCTAAACTAACTTATGGAAACACAAAACATGATTATTAGTTTGAACTGCACATGTGATTACATTCACATCAAACTTTCAGCTACCGCACTCGAATATTTTAATGTGTGATAAGAAGCCTATTTAAAACTTCTCACGTACCCACAACATCTCCCCAGCGCGCACCCATACACAGACTTATTTCAAAATGACATTCCTGACTCCTCGATAGCTAAATTTACTCAAAATTCACCATGGTCAACTCCCTACCCAGTCAATTTACTTTTCACTTCCTTTTACATGGAAGCAGATGTCTCTCTCAAAATCTATGTGAAGAAAACGAAAAAGTTACCAAGGTTTTGGAATAATAACAATTTTAAAAAAACAACAACAACGAATGAGAACAAATTACCCACGCACAGGAAAGAAAAATCACTCTATGTGGTCATCACGTTGTGGTCTAACACCTGGGCAACATGTGGCTCGGTTCAGTTTTTGATCCCCACCCCCACCTACAAATTCCACGAATAGGACGAGTCTGTCGGAGACTCCGCACACGTTTTCGGGCCCCGAGAGGGATGACAGCTCGGGAAGCGCCTCCGGACGGAATGAGAATCACTCGAGGGGCCATCCGAGTCGCGTCTTCCCAGCCTTCCGCCCGCCTCCCCCGGCCGCGGGGCTCCTTCTCCTCCTCCCACCTCCACTCCTCACCTCTCCGCCCAGGCTCACGCGCTTCGCATCACTCGGTCAACTCCTGCTCCGCGCCTCCCTCCCTTTCGGTTTTATTTTCACTTCCCACGCCAGGTGAGGAGTGGAGGGTCCGGTTGAGGATGCCGGCGGGCAGCTGCACCGCTGCTCTCGCGTCCGCACCCAAGGCTGGGCTCGCCGGGGTCGCTCCCAGTCCCAGGACACGGCGCGCGAGGACCGCCAGACGGCCCTCCGCCGGACAGACCCACAAACCTAGCAGGGAGGGACGGGGCGGAGCAAGCGGGACCACACACGTCACCCGCCTGCAGCGGCC